CAATAGTTCAACATCTTAACGTTCTGACCGTTATGGCGCTTCTTAATTTAAAGCATTATGTTTAACATTAGCGGTCTTTCAATCTTATTATTGTAAATGAAATAAGTTAAGTTGGGAAATTTGGGGGGATTATTAATATTTCAGATTTGATTGCGTTGAAAGTCCGACAATCATATCGGCACGCAATTATAATTTCTGAAATTAATTCATTTAAATGAATTTAGAATAGTTCAACATCTTAATGTTCAGACCGTTAGTGGCGCTTCTTAGTTTAAAATATTGTAGTTAACATAAGTGGAAAGTTAACATCTTTCAATCTTATTAAATGAAATAAGTTTTAAATAAGAATATTTTTTTTATAGGAAACTTTAACCGGTTTTAAATGGATGGGCAACAAAGCTATAGAATTAATGAAAGATAATAAGGACGTCTTGTTTGCATATGAAGAAGCTATAGGTTTTATGTGCGGCTCTAAGGTCCTGGATAAGGATGGTATCAGCGCTGGCGTACGTGTAGCTGAATTAGCAGCTTATCTTGAAACGATAGGATTGACTTTATCTGATAAGCTGGAGGAAATATATGAAGAGTACGTTATATTACGTTTATGTGAAGTTTGAAACAAATTTTACACATTGTTGACAATTTCCATTTATTCCATGATATATAGATATGGTTATCATATCAATGATAATTCCTATTGGATATGTCATGATCCAGATACCATCAAAACGATATTTGAACGGTTAAGGAATTATTCGAGCAAATCGGATACAGTAAGTACTATTTTAATTTCTATTATATTCTAAGAAGGTATTGTTTTCTTCCACCTAAGTAAAATTTAAAAAGGTAGTTTGCATGCTAATTTTATGCCTAATTTTAATTACCTAAATTGCCATCTACATCATTTGTACTTTGATTTATATGTACAACAAAAAATATATTTAAAGAAATAATTAATTGTACAAAATTTGATAAATACAAATTTAATATTGCATAGTATGTAATTATGTCGCTTAAGACATGTGTAAAAAAGTCTGTCTGATAAATACATCTAATCTCAGTTTTGATTAGTAAGAATAGATATCTTTCTTAGTAATATAAAAATATATTTGATGTAGAGATACAGCAGATTATATAAAGTTAGTTTTCTATTACAAGTGTAACAATGAACATTGCTTCGTTCACTATTAACGTATTCTAATTTGCGTCTAATAGTATGTGCTCGCAAGGTCAATAAATATATGTGATGCATGAGGTAGCATAAATTGACTAACTGCTTTGAAAGTGTAATAAAACCAACGCGCCGATATATTTCTGCATGTGTCATCCTAGGCGACAGTTGTATCGACAGTGGCGCTTTATCGTTGTTCCTGTGATAAAATAAAATAATAATAAATGCAATGTAAACTCATAGTGATGTGTATTGAAAGTTTTGTACTTAATGAATTGATTTGTGTTGTGCATTAATATGTTTGGGATATATAATCAAGCAAAATTATTTCCAAAAAAATTTGCTTAAAATATTACATTATCTTTTTTTTTTCTCTCTTATACTCTGCCAATGCTTGTTAAGATGACAAAAAAAATTATATACAACAAGTACGTAAATGTGATTGTTATATCATTGACGTTACTGCCTTCCGTGCTTCTTGCCGTTTTATTTATTCCAGTAATATTGTCATTATATCCTCTCACACCGTTTCTTGAGGAAGAAACAGATGAAAGTATGGTGTAAGTATATTTAAGAGATAAGTTTTTTTTAATTACTGGATTAATCAGAGTGCTAAAATGATAATTGTAGCTAAAAAGAGATTTCTTTATATTTCCTTTATTATTTCAGTAATAATAAATAAAACAACATTAATGCATAATATAAAATAGGAAAATTTTACTCTTTTTTTTTATGTTTTTTCTGTCTTTTACAAAGATTCCAATGTAATCTGTTTTTAATGTTGTTAATGCAGTATCCAACCGGAATCCTTAAAGGAAAATATATAATAACTGGTATTCGAGACTTAACAACTGGATATGACAATACAAAACCTGATAATAAAGCAGTTCTTCCTGTATCAAAATCTAGCCAAATGATCACGTTCACATTCAAAAATGGTTTAGTTACTACATTAAGAACCAGTGGCACAGAACCCAAAATAAAATACTACAATGAGTTATGTGGGTCACCTGGAGAGTAAGTTTTTCGCAAATATTATTTGTAAGAATATAATTCATTGTCGCTCCTTACTTCATTTAATTCTAATAGTACTTTATTGTAATTTAATAGTATATTCTAGAGCCTATTTTTAAAGTTGTTCGTAAAAATTTAATATTTTTGCGTTATATAATATATCATTTTAATATTTTAGGGATTTAAGCAAATTAAAATGCATTCTCAGCGAAATGGTATCGGCTATTGTAGCAGAATTCCTTCAACCAGAAATTAATGGACTTATCGCTCGTGAGGAATAAATTATGATAATCGCATCTATTATGCGTCTTGCGTAGCAGTTAACTCATTTAAATCTAAAATTATCGGTACATTATACAATCTATTCTACAATTACTTTACAGTAATATAGCACCAAGTGTTCAGTTTCTAAATTTATTCAATTGTTTGTGCATATTTATGTTACATTACTAAGTTTATAATGCGTTTATGATACTTTAATTTAATTATATTGTAAATTAATTATAAAATGAAAGTGATGTTTCTATTGTAAGCTTACAATTATAATAGAAAATGGCTGTGTACTTGTATATGTATATTACATATTGTTTTGTTCACTGTTAAAATTGTTGAGGGAAAGTTGATTACGTGTTATCTTTCCTGTTTCTTTAATTAATACATTGCGAAGTACAATGTAAGAGACGCACATAATATCCTCTAGTTCTACAATTTAAGAATTAAGCAAATATTTGTTTATAGGCATTGATTGAAACTATTTAATGATTATGTGAAAGGATTAATTTATTAAAAATAAATATAGAAATGGTTGATGTGAACGATTTAAAATTAAAATACCTGGAAATATATTTATCAGTAATAATATAAAACATGAAAGAATGAACATGAAATTTGTTGAACAACTCAAATTGCAATCTTGTCAAATTACATTTAATTGAGCCTGAATATGTAAGATTTTATCATTGAAAATATTCAGAGCTATATAGAATGAGATATTCACACGTAATGTTCAATTCAAGAATATTTATTATTATTTAAAGACAACATAGAGAACATAATAATAATAACGTCTGTTTAACGTTGTGTTTTAGAAATAACAAATATATAGTTTACCTTGACAAATTTGATTGTAAGAATGTAAAACTTATTTTTAGAGGCCTTAATTTCTATACCACGAATACACGCACATCTTAGTCTTAGTTGTGTTAATTCTTTTTCTTATATGCTGTAGTTTGTAATCTCACAGTAAAAGTATTCGGAGTACTTGTAAGGCCTTACAAGATTTATCACTTAATTAATAGAAAGCAACGAGATCGCATCGCTCTTATTCAAAAGACCGACGTAAAGCAAGAATAAATAAACGAACAAGAACGATGCTCAAATTAACAACTCCGTTGTCAAGTTTAGTTGTAACTAGATTCATTCAATTAAACGACTTGAAACAGTTCGATAGGAATTATCTCGATAGCTCTAATGAATATTATCTATTCTAACAAAATTAGTAAATAATTCGCGTCTTATTACAAATTCTCTTTCATCGACAATATATAACTTCAAATATTTTTCTAAATTATATTTTTACACTATTTAACATTTTTTTAAACACGAAACAAATTTGTAAACATGTTTTTAGCATTTTATTACATTATTTATTTAAAATTAAAACTATATAAAACATGTCGGTAAAAGAAACTCCTCAAAGAAATATTTGATCTCCGCCGTTCGATGGCACCATCGTGGCATTCGCCGTTCGTACGGCATTCTATGTACTCCATAAACGGTTTTCCGGTGTGGCGTGTCGTGTGGTTATTTGTTATCACAATTCTCTCTCTGTGTACATACATCGGTTAACTGTCATTCCTCCAACGCTCGACCGTCGTAGGCGCGTGCGAAAGATACGGGAAGAGAAAAAAATTCGGAGAGGGAAAGGTCGGTGCGAGCCATCGTCACGTTTCCGCAGATTCGCTCATATGACGGTGGCATCGATACCCATGGGTGGAGCGGAGTCGCACGCGGAATGACGCGCTCGCGGCTGTCACGCTCGTGAGAGGACATAGGCCCGACGTGTGTCATCACGCGAACATGTCACCGCTGTCTCGGCGAGGAGATCGCGAGCCAAGAGCGACCAACTTGAGCGCGGAGTCCGTATCCCGGGGACTTCAGGTACGCCGCACCCGTTGAGGTCAAACAACTCGGGAAGGGAGCTCCCCCGCTTCCGAGCAGCTGTCCCCCGCGAATCTCCATCCCCCGCGGACAACGCGAGAGCGGTGTACCGTTCTCTTCTCCTACACATGATAATTGCTAATAACGATAACTTTCAACTTGCAGCTTCGCAGATAATACACGCAGCTGCAAAAGTCGCGGTCTATGGTCCGCCGGAAATGACACGAGCCGATCTGTGAACTGACGAACGATATCCGCGATCTGTATACGCTGATAATTAGCGTATCGTTTCGCACGCCTTCGTATCTTTTTCTTCCTCGTCTCCGTAAATTTATTATGCTATCATCATGACCACAATACCGCTGACTGATAAACAGCTTCATCAACTGGTGAGTCAAGAGATCGCACTATATACGTTGGATTATCACAATTATCTCATATCCTGAATGAATTGGGAATTGTGTAGATGACACTGAGTGTCCCTTTTAAAAAATTTAACAAGAAAACGTTGTTTAGATACCTAAAGGTGAAATTGAAATTATTTATCCTTGATTTTTATAACAAACATATAATTGTTTGTTGTTTATAGAGTATTAGCATCGGGAAGGCTGTAAACGCCACAGAAACACCAGTGAAGGAAAAACATGTTCGAAGTATCCTTTTCTAGTCCAGAATACAATTATATATTTGTAGTATTTATTATTAATATATATCCAAGAGATACACAATCAAGAGAGAAAGATAAAAGTTCCTTATAAGCGAATAGGTGCCATTATTGGTACATTTCGAGAGAAGAGTGGCTGCATCTTTTGGACGTATATGTTGAGACAACCGTTGCAGGAGAATCAGATCGTCGCGTGGAAATTTTGTCATGTTCTGCACAAAGTACTGCGCGAGGGACATCCTCGGGTTATCGTTGATTCCCAACGGTATCGCGGCAAGTTGGAAGATATTGGAAAACTCTGGCAACATCTCAGAGAAGGCTACGGTCGCCTCATACAGCTGTACGCAAGACTGCTAATAACTAAATTAGATTATCATAAACGGAACCCGCGCTTACCTGGGAATTTGCAAGTAACACCGGAAGAGCTCGAAGCAATTGGAGAAAATGATATTAATATATAGTGAGTGACGTCTTTTGCACAACTTTATTAAATATAATGGCAGATATGTGCATAATTTGTTATTTTTTCAGCTTTCAGATGTCGGTTGAAATGTTCGATTATATGGATGACATCTTGAATTTACAGCATGCAGGTACTTCAAAATGATAAACTTTAAGTTGCATTCTAGGAGCGCGCTTTCAACATTACTAGCGCATTTTATTCTTATTTTTTGTTTCTAATGAACGATAAAGATAGAATAGCGCATTAATGCTGAAAGCGCGCTCTCTAAACTAATGTGCCCTAATTTGTTTGAAAGGTAGAAATTGCACATTATTTTGTTTGAGATATAAACTTTTTACATAGAACAGCACGTTCATTGAGATCTGTACTTGCAGTTTTTGGTTCTTTGGATTTATCACGATCTAATTCGATGACACCATGCGGCCAGTGTCGACTCGCACCTTTAATTCCGTGTATTCAGGATGCTTCGCAACTGTACGATTGCTGCGTGAAAATCCTGTTTAAACTCCACGGCGCGCTTCCGGCAGACACGTTAACAGGACATCGCGATAGATTCTCGAAGCAATTTCATGAGCTGAAGAGCTTTTACAATACTATCAAACATATGCAGTATTTTAAGCATTTGATAGCAATTCCGTCGTTACCTGAGGTAAAGTTTTTAATTACTGACTAACACAATAATATTCATATAAGACTAAAGATTGGAATTGAGATTAAATTTAATCAATCACGGAAGAGAGAAAGAAAATCGATATATCAAGTTTAGTGAACATTGATTGGTCAAATTCAATCTCAATCTCAATCTCTAGCCTGATACGGACATAAGAGAATTTATGCATTATATCACATTTATCGTATTTTAGAAGCCACCTAACTTTTTAATACAAGCCGAATTGAGAACGTATGTCACACCGATAGTGGTACTTCCACCCGAAGAATCTATAGATTCTGAGACTGCCATAGACAACCTTATTGATACATCTGATACGGGATCATTTACGGGCGATCAGTTGGATTCTGTGAATACACGGAACGGCTCGATATCACCTGATGTTCTTGCGGAAAGGTATGACATTTTTTCTTTTTCTATATTACTTTCTGTTTTGTTTAATTGAAAAATAAGAAACAGGATGCATTCCATTTGATGATACAAATCGACATAAATAAGGTCTGTTTTTGTTATTCATAAAATGTCAAGAAAAATAGAACGTTGTATCAACTAATGTCATTGAATAAAAAGCACTCACGATAACTATTTTTATATATCTATTCTTTTATAAATATGTACTCTTTCAGAGACAGCCTTATCGATCATTTATATCAAGAAAATGTTCGTCAAAGGCAAGAAGTAAATCATTTGTTAATGGACCATCAACAAATAGTTGCGGATTTTAGAAATCGCGTTCTCGAATTGGAATCGACTCTTTCTACTAAAGTAAGCAAACTGCTTGTCACTCACACTTTAATAATTCTACTTCGTTTCGTGAACTAATACTGTGCAAATATTCTAGAGTAATGAAATTGTAACAGAGAAACAAACTTGTCAGAAGTTACTGAAGGAAAACGCAATTACGTTAACAAAAGTTCAAGAAATTGAAGGTACAATTTTTAATTTATAATTTCGATTTTATATGATAGCATTGTTTATTAAAAATTGTGCATACTCTTTTAAATGACTGACAATGATTTTGTTCTTGTTAAATCTTTTAAGGAAAAAATGAAGTATTAGAGGAAAAGTTTAAAAAACTCAAGGATGTTTACTCGAAGCTGAGAGAAGAACATATCAGTTTAATCAGAAAGGTACGTATTTGAGATATCAGCGATAAAAAAGTTATCTATCATGTCCATTTTATTCACGACAACATTTTACATGAAAGAAAGCTGAACTCGACAAAGAATTGGTGAAGAGCGATTGCAAGAGTTGCTTCAAGGACAAGCGTCGACAGAACAAGAAACGCAAAGAGTAGCGCAAGCACGTGAAGATTTAGAGGATGTAAGAAAGAAACTCGACGCTGTCCAAACCGAAAATTTGGTAAATTAAGATTTTAATGAATGCTTTAATTACTAATTATTCTGTCACATATGTTGACAAGAAATTTGTTACTATTTGTTGTTGTAGGCGTTAATAGCAAAAATAGATTTTATTACGTCCGAGAAAACAGCCTTGGAAGGAGATCTCCATGATTTACTGGTACAAAAGGAAGAGCTGGATTTACGAATAGTAAATTTGGAAACTGATGCCGAACGATCCCATAATCAAGTGAAAACAGACGCTAATACGGCTTTATTTGATTTACTATGTGAGTAATGAATATGTGTATTGAATAAATATTTTTATTGAAATTAGTTCATACAGAAATAGAAAAGATTATTTATTTCAGTGAATGCTATATCGGAAGCGGAATCTATCTTGCATCATGCAATGCATGCAATCGATAATCCGGCCATATCGGCGTTAACATGCACGCCCGATTATCTCGGAAGTTTATTAGAACCGACAGAAAAATCATTTAATGATTTGGAGGAGGCATATAATAATTATATGCTTGATACAACGAAGGGGAAAGTGCTAATTCGTGTTGCTATACGTAGTGCATACTTTTTAGCTCTCTATCTAATATATGCAAAATCTACTTCGAATACATCGACAGATATTGGTATAGCTGACAGTAAGTTTTTTTTTATGATTGCATGATAATGCTTTAAATATTTGAGGACAAGATATTACTTTGAGAACGTGGAAACTATTGGCAAAAGAATAATCTGTATCGGACAGTCTAGAATGAATTACAAAATATTGTGGAATATAATAATTTTTACCGCTTTCTATAAGATCCGTCGTACACTTGTAGGATTTGCCGATGAATGTAAACAGTTAGGTTCGCAAGGTTTAATTATGTTGAGTTATATCAAAGAGAAGTCCTCAATGACCGTTGCGCAAATTGCAAATGTCAAAAGTCAATTACAAAAGATTTCGTCTCTCATAAATACATTATCAAGTACTCAGAACAACGTGGAAATTATCGGGACTTTAGTAGAAAGCGAGTTGCAGAGTATGGATAAAGCTATTGAAGAAACGGTTGCAAAAATACAGGTGCTTAATGATAAAAGTACTTACACGATAAAAAAATAAGAAGATAAGCTTTAACTTTTTCGATTTAATAGGATATGTTGGATAAATCTCGTGCGGCGGACTCAGGTGTGAAATTAAAAGTAAACGAACAGATCTTGGATTCTTGCACGGATCTAATGAAACGCATAAGAAAATTAGTACAGAAGTCTCGCTTGCTGCAGAAGGAAATTGTAGAACAGGGAAGGGTATGATAACAATTACTTATTTTAACAATTACTTGAAAATACTAGCTATATTATGCATATATCTGATATATTAAATAATAGGTAAATAATTGACATAAAAAGTTATGTTATAATTGGAAATCTTAATACAATATTTTGTTTAGGGAACTGTCTCTGCTACTGAATTTTACAAACGTAATCATCAATGGTCCGAGGGTCTTATCTCAGCAGCAAAGGCGATTGCTATGGGCGCAAACTTTTTATTGTAAGTGTCAAGTACTAAACTCTAATTGTCTTGTAGTCTTTTTAGTCTTTCTAGTAGTTTCGAAACGTAGTTATGTATATATACGTATTATTACAGAGAAGCAGCAGATAAAGTTGTGTTAGGCAATGGCAAATTTGAGCAATTGGTTGTTGCCTCACAAGGCATTGCGGCATCTACCGCGCAATTGGTAGTTGCTAGTAGAGTTAAGGCTGACAGAAATAGTACTAATTTGACTGAACTCTCTAAAGCTTCGAGAGAAGTGACTCAAGCTACAGCGAACGTTGTGGCGACTGCTAAAAGCTGCAATCATCTTGTCGAGGAAAATGGTATTTGATTTGAAAACACATTAAATTATTATGCCACGTCGTATGCACTATTTTTTAATATTCTTAATACTCCTATATCTGAATTTTACAGAAGATTTAGATATGTCTAATCTAAGTTTACATCAAGCTAAACGGCTCGAAATGGAGGCACAAGTGCGAATTCTAGAATTGGAGCAAGCTCTAGAAACCGAGAGATTACGTCTAGCCGCACTTCGACGTTATCATTATCAACTTGACGGTGAGAATGAAACATAAGCTGAACATGGATTTGAATTTAGATTAAGGATATTCAACAAACACAAAAATCGTATGTAGATAAAGAATCATAGCAATCGTGTAAATTAGTCCCGACTCAACTAACCATAGAAATCGGTTTTTCGTTAGAAGCGAAACTTCTATTATTCATTAAACATTTATGTATTATGCATGTCTCGAAAATCAACGATCTAATTTTCCGTCATTATATAGATCTATTAAATGTACTTTATTGGATAATGCTCGAATATATATCGATACATATTTATCGATCATATATTGAATGGTTTATATGTCGTTTTTTAATCTACTTCCAGAATCTTTTTTACGTTATTTTTTATTCAATAACGAGTATTTATAAGATAAAGTACATTTTACGAATAAATTTAATGAGCAATGAAATTCAAAATATCTAATGCAAGTTTCTATTACATTTGGAATAATTTTATAAGAGAATCGTGTTTTTTCCTAAACAAATATATATTATATATACATATATATAAGGAGGATTGTATGTTAAGTGACCAATACCTGAAACTTTTAGAGACCTACTAAGTTTACTAACTTGTTAGGTATACATCATGTAAGTTATTTTCGTTTTAAAGTAAAAACGATGTGTGTTGCATAGTAATTAATTTAAGTTAAAGCGCAAACCATTATGTTTTCCCAGCGATCGGTTTCATTTGTCATGAAAGATTTAACGTGTGAGAAGGAGAGAAACTTAACATATGAAATTCCTCTAATGGTCTTACCAAAGTTATTATTTTATAAACACAATTTTCTCAATAAACCATCGAGAGAGAATAATATGTGTGTTGATTGATTTTCATATAAATTAGTATCCTGATATATACTACTGCATTAGCACAGTTTTTTTAATTTTTAATAATGAATCATCAGATAATATTGTGTATATTAAATAGAAGTAAAAAAGCATATGTATGTGGCAGTACATTAGCTTGTTTTATCAGTGTCGGTGCAATGACCAATTGCGCAATGATCAACGATACAATCTAAAGATTTGCATGACGAAATTTGTATAATTAACTATAATAATATAATATTAATTTTATAATTATTAATCGTAGTCATTTGAACTAAGCGCCAAATTGGTTTTTTAAATTTATAAACGCAATTAAACTACTATAGTAATATCACAAATTAAACTGACAAGCAATTTAATAATTTGATGCTCAATCAGGCATCCTATTAGAAAGTGTACTGAAAAACTGTAAATAAATAAAAATAACAATACAAATGACTACATATTTAGTATATAAATTCACATAGAAATTATTTAAGCATCTAAGATCAGTATAGGCTTGAAACTTTTACTTGTTGTGTATTAAATAAAGGGCAAAAAATCTAGAGAAAAATGATCATCCTTAGTATACGCATATATTATTGATGCTATTACATACATAAAATTCATGATCATTACCACATTTTTGAAAATAAGTACATACTAAGAGAGAGGTGGCAAGGAGGTAGTAGGGGGAATTTATATAAATATGCATCAGAATCGCCGAGAGAGCCACTCTACATTTGGCAGTCACATGGACTACACGGAAGACATGGAAGCTTTTAGGAGAATTTAGGAGCGTTCCTAGATTTTTTTACAGAAACAAAGTTAGATATAATCAGGAAATTACCTACTGAAGTTTCCAGTATGATATTTGGCATGCTGCGACCTTACGATTTCTATTATAGATCCCACAGAAGAAAGAATTTTGATTGGTTGATTCACTTGTCCTATGCGTTATGAATTATACAAAGGTCTGTGCTGCAGCCTTAATCAGATATGTAAATTCTGAAATAAGTTTTATATAAAAAATGTAAAAATTTTTTTTAAAAAGTAACAAAATTATATAGAAAATCTGATCATATGAAAAATTCTTTTATTTATATATAATTTTTATATCTTGGAATATTAATATATATCTGCTATATATATTAATATATATAATATATATTAATATACATCAGCTGGTCTACATTGATCGCATCGCAGCGTCGCAAGCGTGCGGTCCAATCAACGTCAAGCTAGCTCGACTCTGATTGGACTGCAACGCTTGCATCAGCTTAACGCTGATATACGTTTTATAAATGGAGTTTACAGACAGGATGTACCTAATGGCCGCAGCACAGACTCTTGCATAACGCATAATGCATAGTGCATAAGGGAATCGACCAATCGAAATTCTTCTTTTCCATGGAATGAAAGAAAAGGAAAGATTCTGATTAGTTGATTCGCTTATGCACTATGCGTTATGCAAGAGTCTGTGCTGCGGCCTTAACGATGTCCACTGCCGGGCTTTTAAGCCCGAGACACAATGGGC